AGGTGTTGTATCTGTTGATCAAATTGTGATTACGGGTTCTCCATGTGAGTTATTTTCATGTAAAATGTTTCTGCGTGCTCGAAATCCGTGTTTTGATTGTAGGTAAGGGTGACTTTACAGCAGAACCTCCGACGAGAGAAACAACCTTAGAGGAGACCAGTTTGTCGACGACGACAACTAGTTCGACCACAACAACTAGCTCGACGACTACAACTACTTCGACGACGACAACTAGTTTGACCACGACAAGTAGTTCGACGACTACAACTACTTCGACGACGATAACTAGTTCGACCACGACAAGTAGTTCGACGTATCCGACGTCTACGTCTAGTGAAAGGTTGCCTATCACCACGCAAACAGTGAGTGTTCCTTCGGTCTCGACGCTGTTAGTAACTACTACAGTGTCAACGACAATTTCATCAAGTACAGTGACAATAACAACAACTTTAAATCCGGTGACTTTTTCAATAAGCACAAATAGAGTAACAACGTCAAGAAGTCCAATTTTAACAACAATATTCTTATCTACAACACCAGACGTGGGTAGTACTACTACTAGTGGGATAATGCTTGAAGAAACTTCGGTAAAACCAGATGGATCAAAGAGAACGATTATGATCGTGATTATTTCTGTAGTCTGTTCGGTGATTTTAATAGCAGCATCAGGCATTTTCATCTTTCGTCGTCGATTAGCGGAACGTTCTAGTAAAGTACCTATCAATGCACGTTATTCCCCTAGCGGTATAGTCACTCTGGGGGTTAAAAAACGTTCTAATACTCTGCTAGCAGAGATATCTGATAACACATCTGATCATTAAATTTGTAACGATGATTATATTTTTGTGTACGCTTTGGTGTTTGTTGTACATAGGGCACTAGGAAGTGATAATGATCAAAACTGATATTCAATAGAAAAGCGTATAAAGAGCTTAGTGATTACAGTGATATCAAAATAGGATTCTATTGTCTCACATATCTGTCTCGATGATCGATCGTACATAGCTAAGAACTGATATTTTCAGCAAATTTTCTATTTCTATAGGAATTTAAAATGTTCATTTCATATATTCAAGCACTTATATTTCTCCATTGTGTGACAGTGCTAACAACAACATATAGCTTCATATATGACATGTGCATAAAATATTAAAATTTAATGAACGGATCAAAGAAATGTAGCCGCCTACTTCTTCTACAGGCAATTTTACAGTGCCGTGGCCACAGTGTGTGTGTGGGAGGGAGATATGACCCTGCTGCTTTTCAGGAAAATATTTTCTTTTTAACAGTCTCTTTTTCGTCAGAGCTCTTGCCCAGATTTGGTAGTGAATCGAATCAATATATAACGAAAACATCTCACTTTTTCACTAAATTATTTGAGAACAAAATCTTTCTCCGACGTTTTTTTCAATGAGAAAAAACCTCAAATTGATATCAATAATATCATTATCATTTAAATTTATTGATTGCTTATTCGTTTTTGTCATCCATACCAGCCTGTCACAACGGCGAGAAATGAACATCCGTTTAGTTGATTGAAACTGATGAGAAGTCGTTTAAAATCTACGATAGATGTTGAAAGATTACTTCATTTGATGTTATGCTCGATAAAAAGGGACTTTCTCGACAGCCAGTGTATCACACAGTTAGCCAAAAAATATGGAAAATACATAAACATCGTCGACTGCCTTTAACATGATTTTTTTTTTGAATAAACTAATTTAAGGATATTTTTCGGCGAAAAATCTTGGAGAGGAGAAAAAGATTACCTGGTCTAATATTGTCTTTTAAGACGGAGATAAATAACCGATAGATATATGTAATATCAGTTAATGCAACACGGAAGATAACGAATGTTAAGACAAGCATTAACGTAGGTTCATGACGCAAAGATTTGGATAATCACGACGCTTGTTTTCGGTTGTAACCCGGATCGACACATCGTCGCTAAGATAGGAGGTTTTGAATTCGTTTCATTTTAACTTCATTCTCAGTTTAGAAAAGCAACAAGAGAAATTATAGTTTAGAAATTTATACTTTCGCTTCTAAAACATTTTCATTCTTCTTCGTTCCTAAAGAACTAATCATGGTACTGCTTATAATGGTGTTAACAAGGAAAACTAAGCCGAAAGTTACGGCTTACAAGAAGACTATACCAACATGTCGCTCATCAAAAAAGTTAACTAAACAACAAATGCTCTATGAATTAAAGAAAAAAGGCATGATTCTACCACTCAGAACAACAAAAGCGGTTGTGAAACAGTTGCACGTTTTTGCTGGAAATGGTAATTTTAATAAACATGCGCAGAGGGATGATTCATCATCAATTAGGTCATCACCAGCGGGTTCATGGCCATTGTTTGTGTCTCGAACTGTTGCCAATTTAGACGACGATGAAGATACAACTGAAATGAATGTTACGAAAATTGCACCGCGTACGTACACTTTATATAATTGTATAAATAGTAAAGCTCGTGGTGGGACAGGTAATACTAGTATTAATATAACAGAATACGTAACACCGCTTCTCTGGAAGGCTATCTGTGTAGGTCGTGACGTTTCACTGCACCATTTTTCAATGTCAGCCGAAACAGCAACAGCACAGTATCATGATGATCATAAAGATGTTAGTTCTTCAACGTTTAAACAATTTGATCCACGTCTGCTGAAATCGTTAAGTCTATCTAAATTTGTTTTGACTTTTGTTAAATTTTTAAATATTATGTGCGACGTTCATCCCGAGCGTCGAGAGGAACTTACTCATTACCTCAGTTTTATTGTTAAAATGGCCGCAACGTTTCCACCACCATTGTCTTTTGAATACCGTAAACAGTTTTCTAGTAAGCTGCTGCAATTCTGTCTACAAGCGGAGTCAAAACTGACTAGTGGATGCGGGATGATGAACTGCATTTTTCTATTTTTGCGGGATAACGTGCTCGCAATTGTAATCACTGTCAGGCTGTTGATCATTCGACTGACTTTTGCCCAGCTGTGTCTCGTTTGAATCTATTTACATTATCACAACATCCAGTGCAATATGATTTTAGCTCTTTATCTAAAGGCCAGTCTATATTTTTTAGAGATAAGTTTAGCCAGACCATCATGCGCACTTTTCCGCTAGACTTATCAAACGTTGTGCATAGTGAAATACATTTATTTAGACTTGACCAACTTGCATGCCACTACGTCTATCAACATAGAAGTTTTCAGGAAAGAATTAGAACACCATCTAGACGCAGCTTTTGTAGATTATTTACTGAGTAGATTTCAAAACGGCTTTCAAAGTGGAGCTGAAGTTTTACCAACTGATAATCATATCACAAATAACTTGAGATCTGCTCGTGATGATCCTGACACAGTTACTAAACTACTTACGGAAGAATTAAAAAATAATTATCTAATTGGATCATTTGATTATCCTCCTTTTGAGCATTTTAGAATCAGTCCCTTAGGTTTAGTGTTTAGAAAATACTCAGGAAAAGCTAGGCTTATTTTGGATCTTAGTTCGCCACATAAACATCCACCTGTATCTAGCATTAATGATCTAATTGATTCAGAAGAGTCTATGACTTACACCACGATCGATGATGCCATATCAACTATTCAGGGTGTAGGGCGAGGAGCATGGCTATGTAAATGTGACATCAAGGATGCGTTCAAGTTGCTCCCTTTACATCCTCGTTTATGGTCGTACTATGGATGTCAGTGGAATTCAAAATGTTACTTTTGGACGCGATTACCATTTGGTAGTCGTAGCAGTCCTCGCATTTTTCATACCCTATCTCAAGCCATCGTGTGGATATTTAGAAACGACTATCATACTACACACATTCATCATTTATTAGATGATGTTCTAGTGATTGATGCTACGGACGAAGAAGGGTATCGTACCATGGCGCTGCTGACGACAGTTTTTTGCCGACTATATCTGTTGAATACCTTCCACATCTGTTGAATACTGAGAAATCGCATTGGACACGATAGCTTTTGAATCTAGCCCTCCTCCAGAGAAAGTTTCGAGGATGTTATCGATTATTGGTCGATACGTTAACAAGAGTAACATTACAAAAAGAGAATTGCTTGTAATCAATGGCCATTTTAATTTTGTCACGCGTGTTATCACTCCTGGACGCTCATTTATGTCGTACTTATTTCAGTTATCTGCGAAAGTAAATCTTTTGAATTAACATCATGTACGTCTAGATCGTGATGCTTTATCGAACCTAAACATATGGATTAATTTCCTTGAAACACGTAATGCTAACGCATTATTCTTAGAATCCACATTCACTTCCAACATCGCATTGAATTTGTACACAGACGCTTCTGGAGGTGTAGGATTCGATGGAATTTTAGGGCGTGAATGGTTTACAGGCAAATGGGAGGGTGATTTTATACCGGTCAGACAACATGTACGTGAATCTTCACTCCTAGAAATTGGGCCAGTAGTTATAGCAGCCAAAATTTGGGGTGCTTTATGGACACGTCGTAAAATTCTAATACATACTAATAATGAGGCTTTAGTATCCATCATTAACAAAGGCCGTTCAAAATCGTCTGCAGTTATGCACTTTTCGAGAAGATCAACGTTGTTACAACTTGAACATAATTTCTATTTGCAAGCAAAAACATATACCAGGCATCACGAACACCATAGCCGACGCCCTATCAAGAGCTGATTTTGCCAGACTTAGAGAACTAGCCCCATATGCAAATGAATATCCATGTGATAACCAGAATTTTATAATCTGACTTATGTATAGCTACTTCCCTAACATGTTCTGATGTAAAGCGGGCTTACTTGTCTAGGAGAACAGACTTCCAGTACACTGGTGATAGTTTCCTCGACTTAGCTTCTGCTTCTTGCTGCTAAACATCACTTTTGCTTTTCTATTTAGTAACTGAAAGATACTCTTGCAAGATGAAACAGACAGATCTATTTAGTAGCTTATGTCTTTGGTCCAAGAAACTGTAGTCTTCTGCGTTGTCTGACACGACGAAATCCTCATATGCATCGGGACTTAGAACGTTCAAACGATTTTTGCGTGGCTTTACTGGATCTCGTACAGCAGAAATTACAGACTATGCTATTGAACAATTCATAATTTATTGCGTAGGAGTCTCAAACATTCGAGCCAGTTCCATTAAAGGCTTACTGGGATTCGATGCTAAAAGCTGTTTGCTACTTAAAAACTAGTCTGAAAATAGCGTCATCCGTATAAAAATTAATTTTAAGCAAAAATGGAGACTCCAGTAACCGAATGAGTTGTCAATTATGAATCTCCATATCATTTAGTATATATTAGTAAAAAAGATTTTGAGTTTGAATGGAAGATTGCTGAGCAAAAAAATAAAAGTTTTTCCTAAGTGGTTTTTCGAACTGCTAGTTTGAGTAAAATTCGCACGCCCTCCACAGTCCAACTTCAAATTTGTCTTAAAGTTTACAGAATATTCTTCTACATGTCCTCTATCAACACGGTTAGCATAAATTAGCATAAACGTTCTTGGAGTTAGGTATTGGTTTTCCAAAAACCCTAGCTTTTCCAGTTATTTATCTCGACCCAGAAATGTTTCTATTCAATAAAAATGACATATTTGGAATCACCGCAAGAAACTCCATTGAATGATGTGCCATTAGTAGGTTTTTCTGAGCAAAAACTTGTTGGATCTAACGAACCACTAAAGTCGAAGCATAGCTTAACACTTTTGATATTTTTTTTGATTTTGATATTTGCTATAGAAGCAATCCGAAAGCCTGCAAACAGCTTTTTTATAGGCTTTCAGGTATGCTCTTTCCAATGCTGAGCTTTACAAAGTTGTAGAATACTTATGTGTGGGTTTTCTAGAGACCCGGGCTCCGGAGAACCCAGAGGAAAGTCTCTTTGAATTTTGTAAAGCACACCATTGGAAAGAGCATATCTGGAAACCTATACAAAAAGTATTTGTAGAGTGTCGGACTGCTTCTGCAGCAAATGTCCGCATGACGTATGGAAAAATGCACACTGTGGCTCCCTTTTTCTTGTATTTATTTTACGCTAGTCGGTACTTTGTGCTCATGATTTGCCAGAATATAAGATGAAAAGCGAATCGTTTATAAGGAGATTTCCTGTGCATGAATATAAAAAAGAATTATGTTCTATGACTTTCTATGACTTTCTCCCAAAAATATACACATTGCAAGTGCAAGGTTTATTTTACAATTGGATAACTGAAAAGAAGAAAAGTCTTCGAATAACATTTGAAAAGCATCTAGATAATTGCCTTCAATAAAATATCTGGAAAGAGAAATTTAACATAACTTTTTAGCACATAGATAGTCTTAGACGCACACTAATCAGAAATATGAGTTAGATTATTTATCCGTAGGAAGAAAGGTCATATTCTTCTTTTCTGTTCACGGAAAACAGTTGAGTTTTTCCCATTCTACTGACGATTAATTAATAATGAAATTATTATTATTGCACTTTAATCGAATCATAGAGAATGTGCTGTATAGTCGTGGAATAAACATTGCACTATTTAATAAAATGAATAATTCTCCTCACTCAATACCGTCTAATGTTGAAATTAACGACGTTTTACCATCCACGATCAGACAACCAATATCACCAAAAGCTTGTCATGATTCGCTTCAACAGTCGTTAACTACAGCTATATTTATCTCGGAATTATGCCAAAAATTAGCATAATTCTCAGTCTTTGTCAATCTGACTGCATCTTTCAGTTCATCTTTGTGGGAACAAAAACAACAAGAAATCGAATCAATTTTATGAGACAGTAAATGAACTTGAGGAACGATCGACGGCAGACATTTTCCAACTGGGGGACATTCAGAGGAACAAATCTTAAAATAAGGGACTCTCTCTCTTGTGGTATGATATTTGACAATCTTGCATCAGATATTTGCTCACATAACACGTTTTATAGCAACAATGAAATAGTTTATAGAATGTTTTCAAACTAACTTATGTGTCTTATAATTTTCAGTTATTTTTGTACACTGGATGAGATTTCATAAACAAAATATTTTCTTGCGAAATATTGAACATGGTATAAATTGCAAAGAATTTTGAAGCAAGACGCTATTATATCTTCAAAATATCTATTACGGTTTCGACAACATCATTACTTCTTCACAATAGTTTTTCATCTATTGCCACAGCAAAATTTTATCGAAATGTTACGTATGCATTTGCGACCGTAAAATGTTCACATGGAGTTTTACAATATTCTATAGACAAATGGAGAAAACTTAGCAGTGTCGAGATGATGCAGTTGAAACATCAAACGCGAGTCATTTTTCACTGGCATGTGATATTTTAAACATATACTTATGCGTTTGATGATACAACTGCACAACCCCAAAATCATGAAATTTTTACGGAAGCTTTTCCTTCACGTGTCGAAAAGTGCACAAAACGAAAACTTATGAATCCAAATAACCGTAGATTAAGTATATTTGGAGCTAGTTACCAAACAGATCGAATTGGATATGTTCGGTTTTTTCTTTTAGATTTCTTTTGGACCGGAGCACGTCGAAAAAGATTGATGTTGAAAGATGAGAGACGCTCTTCTGCGAAAGCGATTTTAAATCGCTCATTTCCACGCAGTTTTCATCTTGTTTTCTTAATAATTGCAACGGCGGAGACTAACGACAGTCGGACGTGTAGTGTGTTTCGATTTGGAGAACTATACCCACAGCCAATATGTTCCTATTTTCGACCCATCGTTCTGGCCTAACGTAATTAAAAAGCCTTCCTCTCTTGCCGCTCGATAAGTACACTAGCATCCTACTTTATTACATCGTCTTTTAAATCCTAGAGTGGCTGTATCACCTGACGCATATGTGGCTTTCACAGGTCCTTCAGCAGATCTAAAACATTTCACTAATCGATGACGAAAGATAAAAATGCCTGGTGCTGCTATTAAAATCACCGAACAGACTACAGAAATAATCACGATCATAATCGTTCTCTTTGATCCATCTGGTTTTACCGGGATTTCTTCAAGCAATATCCGGCTAGTAGTAATACTATTACTATCGTCTGGTGTTGTAGATAAGAATATTGTTGTTAAAATTGGACTTGTTGATGTTGTTACTCGACTTGTGCTTATTAAAAAGGTCGTCGGCTTTAAAGTTGTTTCTCTCGTCGGGGGTTCTGCTGTAAAGTCACCCTTACCTACAATCAAAACACGGATTTCGAGCACGCAGAAACATTTTACATGAAAATAACTCACATGGAGAACCCGTAATCACAATTTGATCAACAGATACAACACCT